CCTCAAGCACCTTCCACACATACAATGTATAATCATATATCTCTCGTTCTCTCTAGAGTACATTCCCAGTTCTCTGAGACGTTCCCAGGAGTGAAATTGTGTAATTGACTTTATGTAGGCAGTAAACACATTTGTTTAATTCGTCAACTCTGTGTTTTTCCAACTCTGGTATCTCTCCTGCCCTGGACGGAACTGTCAACATCGACCAGTAGTCTATGCAAGAGGGCACAAGTGTTCTGAAAAGTGTCCTCACTGGCATTATTTCTATTTTGTAAGTTCTTGTTTTCCAGACTGTCATTTTCTGGGCCTCTGCAGTGTTTGCATTATTAGGTTCTTTGTGGTTTGATCCCAGGTATGGGGGGGGAATGCTGGGTTTGTTACCTTACACCTGCAGCCACTGTTCACCTAGCAATAGGTAGATTAGGTTAGGTTAGCTTAAGTTTGTCAGGAAACAGGACTAGTGTTTCCTGATGCTGGTCTTAGTCACGTGATGACCCACAGCTGGAGCTTGTGGTTATCTTATCGAGGTCTTCCACAAAAAAAAAAATAAAAAGAGAGATTTAGCCCAGATCTAAACTTTTCATCTGAGAAAATGCTGAGTGATCGCGATAGTGGTAGTTAGCAGGTCTTTCTAAATAGAGAGGTCTATGAATCTGGCCCAGGAGCTGGAAGTGTGGACTCTTCCCTCACTTTCCAAGGAATTTTGTGCCTATGTCAGGTATATATGTCAGGTGGGCAGAGGTAATGAGAAAACTTTCTGGTTTCTCCCCTCTTCTGTTGTTCAGTGAACTGCTGAACACTGAGTCATGCTGGACTTTCAGGATTTCACTCGTTTCTATTTTCCTCGTCTGTGTATGAAACTGCTATTAGTAGAGGCATTTTTTATTTTCCTTATTGTGTGTGTGTAGAAATGTCTAGTTTTTCATAGAGTTTTTTTTTCCATATTGTGTATGTGTAGAAATGTTAAATTTTTCGTTATTTCTTGTATAACTTTTTCTTCTTTACATCCTCTTTCAGTCTGAAAAGAATGTTTTAGTTCCTGTTTGTTGCTGTTAATCTCTCAATAAAAGTTATCCTTCTTTTCTTGTGACATATTTATGTTTTCAATTAGTTCTGCAATCTATCTTTTTCCTCGTCTTAACCATCTTTTCCGTCTTCTTTCAGTGGCTGATCTCCATTCTGGCTTTCTTAGCAGAACATAAGAATGGAGGAACACTGTATTAGATGTGGCTAAAGACACATGCAAACTTCAAGACACTGATGTGACATGCATGGAGAACGTTACAGTTTACTCCCCGTTCATCATACCCAGTGGCACGCCTAGTAGCAGTTAGGCTGGAGCAGTTTATTTAGGGGCCCAACTGTTCTGTTAGGCTGTCCAATTCAAGTCAACTAAGTGGATGAAAGTTTACATCCAGGTTGTTGTTTTACTTTGGCACCTGGCTGGTGGCAGACACTCACTAATGCTTGTCAGATACACTCATACTAGCTATACTATCTTGACACGTAAACCAACTGTAGCGAGTGCCTCTTTGCACTCTCTCACTCGTTATTACTATTCTGCTGATCATGTAACTCTGTAAATACAGTAAGTTCTGTAAATATGGAAATAAGTCACTTTGTCTGACATTTTTGGATTATCCTAAGTTCTCTACATATATGATAATACATGTATATGTAGTTGTATATGTAGTTGTATATGTAGTTGTATTTGTGTATACCTGAATAAACTTACTGTAAATATCTTAGTGAAGGGGATATATGAGTGAAAAGCTACCCTCTTTAGTTTACCTTGAACTGTTTGTCTTGATTCTTGTTTTGAGAGTATGTGAGGGAGAGTATGTGTAGGAGAGTGTGTGAGGGAGAGTATGTGTAGGAGAGTGTGTGAGGGAGAGTAGGGGGGGAATGTGTAGGAGAGGTAGTGTGAGGGAGAGTATGTGTAGGAGAGTGTGTGAGGGAGAGTATGTGTAGGAGAGTGTGTGAGGGAGAGTATGTGTAGGAGAGTGTGTGAGGGAGAGTATGTGTAGGAGATGTGGATGTGTAGGAGATGTGGGGAGTATGTGTAGGAGAGTGTGTGGGAGGTGGAGAGTATGTGAGGTGTAGGGAGTATGTGTAGGGAGATGTGTGATGGAGTGTGTAGGAAGGTGAGGGAGTTGTGTGGAGGTTGAGGAGTATGTGTAGGAGAGTGTGTGAGGGAGAGTATGATGTAGGAGAGTGTGTGAGTGTGAGGAGAGTATGTGTAGGAGAGTGTGTGAGGGAGAGTATGTGTAGGAGAGTGTGTGAGGAGAGATTGTGGATGTGTGAGGAGAGATGTGTGTGAGGGAGAGAGTATGTGTAGGAGAGTGTGTGAGGAGAGAGTATGTGTAGGAGAGTGTGTGAGGGAGAGTATGTGTAGGAGAGTGTGTGAGGGGGTAGAGGATGTATGGAGGTGGTGAGGAGAGTGTGTGAGTGGAGGTATGTGTAGGAGAGTGTGTGAGGGAGAGTTATGTGTAGGAGAGTAGTGGGTTGAGGGAGATGTGAGAGTGTGATAGGGAGAGTGTGTGGAGGGAGAGTGTGTGGATGTGAGAGTATGTGTAGGAGATGTTAATGTGAGGGATGTGAGATATGTGTAGGAGAGTGTGTGAGGAATGTGTAGAGAGAGTGTGTGATGAAGAGTATGTGTAGGAGAGTGTGTGAGGGAGAGTATGTGTAAGGAGAGTTGTGTGAGGGAGAGTTGTGTGGAATGTGAGAGAGTATGTGTAGGAGAGTGTGTGAGGGAGTAAGTATGTGTATGTGAGGAGATGTGTGAAGTGTGGAGAGTATGTGTAGAAGAAGTAGTGTGTGATTGAAGGAAGTTATGTGTAGGAGAGTGTGTGAGTGTGTAGAGAGTTAGGTGTAGGAGGTGTGTGAGAGGAGAGTATGTGTAGGAAGAGTGTGAGTGGAGGGAGAGTATGTGTAGGAGAGTGTGTGAGGAGAGGTAGGAAGTGTGATGAAGGAAGTATGTTGTAGGAGAGTGTGTGATGGGAGAGTATGTGTAGGAGAGTGTGTGAGGGAGAGTGTGTGATGAAGAGTATGTGTAGGAGAGTGTGTGAGGGAGAGTTTGTGTAGGAGATGTGTGTTGAAGGGAGAGTATGTGTAGGAGAGTGTGTGAGGGAGAGTATGTGTAGGAGAGTGTGTGAGGGAGAGTTAAATGTGTAGGAGAGTTGTGTGGATGGAGGAGTAGTATGTGTAGGAGAGTGTGTGAGGGAGAGTATGTGTAGGAGAGTGTGTGAGGGAGAGTATGTGTAGGAGAGTGTGTGAGGGAGAGTATGTGTAGGAGAGTGTGTGAGGGAGAGTGTGTGATGAAGAGTATGTGTAGGAGAGTGTGTGAGGGAGAGTATGTGTAGGAGAGTGTGTGAGGGAGAGTATGTGTAGGAGATGTGTGTGATGAAGAGTATGTGTAGGAGAGTGTGATGAGGGAGAGTATGTGTAGGAGAGTGTGTGAGGGAGAGTATGTGTAGGAGAGTGTGTGAGGGAGAGTATGTGTAGGAGAGTTGTGTGATAGGGAGAGTGTGTGATGAGAGTATGTGTAGGAGAGTGTGTGAGGGAGAGTATGTGTAGGAGAGTGTGTGAGGAGAAGTATATGTGTAGGAAGTATGTGAGGGAGAGTATGTGTAGGAGAGTGTGTGAGGGAGAGTATGTGTAGGAGAGTGTGTGAGGGAGAGTATGTGTAGGAGAGTGTGTGAGGGAGAGTATGTGTAGGAGAGTGTGTGAGGGAGAGTGTTGAGAAGTATGTAATGTGTAGGAGAGTGTTGTGAGGGAGAGTATGTTGTAGAGAGTGTGTGAGGAGAGCTAATGTGTAGGAGAGTGTGTGATGGTGAGAGTATGTGTAGAGAGATGTGTGAGGAGAGTATGTGTAGGAGAGTGTGTGAGAGAGTATTGTAGGAGAGTGTAGTGAGGCGAGAGTATGTTAGGAGATGTTGTGAGGGAGTAGTATGTAGGAGAGTGTGTGAGGGAGAGTGTGTGAGAGATATGTGTATGTGAGAGTGTGTGAGGTAGAAGTATGTGTAGGGAGGTTTGTGATGAGTAGAGATAGTGTGATGAAGAGTATGTTAGGAGAGTGTGTGAGGGAGAGTATGTGTAGAGATGTGTGTTGAGGGAGATGTATGTGTTAGAGAGGTGTGAGGAGAGTATGTGTAGGAGTGGTGAGGGAGAGTATTGTAGAGAGTGTGGAAGGATGAGTATGATCGTAGAGATCAGTGAAGCAGGATACAGGTATGTTAGCGAAGTGATGTAGAGGATAGATTATGTGGAAGAGCTGTGATGAGTGCGAAAGTGTGAGGGAATGTGGTGAGTGGAAGTGTGTATGAGTGGAGACTGTACATACTGAAAAATGTGTGGGCGAGAGTAAAAATAACAGACTACGACCCAAAAAAAAAAAAAAAATTTAAACGAACATTGCTTAACAGTTTAAGACACGAAATCATGTGAAACTCAGGCAATAAACTAGCCACAACTATCACTTAACTATTCTAATGCCAATAGTACGCCACTAACAGTAACATTAATACTGACAAGAACTGTTTCTGTCTCATTACAGGTGAAGGAATACGGGGGAGATAACTGGCTCTCCAGTCATCGTGAACAACCTCACCATCACCTGAGACACAGTGCTCCTCTCGTGGTCAACAATGCTATTACTCTGGCTATTCCCGTTGGCATTATTCTCGCTACACTTCGGTTGTTATTCCCGCTAGACTTGGGTATTCTCTCGCTAGACTTTGGTATTAGTCTCGCTAAAACTCAGTAATTCTCTCGCTAGACTTTGGTATTAGTCTCGCTAAAACTCAGTAATTCTCTCGCTAGACTTTGGTATTAGTCTCGCTAAAACTCAGTAATTCTCTCGCTAGACTTTGTATTAGTCTCGCTAAAAACTCAGTAATTCTCTCGCTAGACTTTGGTATTAGTCTCGCTAAAACTCAGTAATTCTCTCGCTAGACTTTGGTATTAGTCTCGCTAAAACTCAATAATTCTCTCGCTAGACTTTGGTATTATTGTCACTAATACCAGGTATTATTCTTGTTAAGCTTATTATTGCTTATACTTGGTATAACTTTTGTTAATTATTGGTATTATTACTCTTAAAATAGATATTACTCTGGTTGAAACAGGGTAATATTCTCCCTAAGTCTCCACGAATTAAGAAAAAACAGTGGAAGTAAATTTTTTTGTTTATACAGAGAAATAAGTGACAGAAACGAATATTTTAACAGATTTAAGCATTGTTTGTTGGGTGATTATTGCTGGATTTAAAGTGGTTTTTGACCTGTTAGAATCTTGTGTTTGAGTGAACTCTGACCTTGTAAATCCAGTGTATCTAGAGAAGTCACAAGGGCCTTGACCTGTCGATCCCGTGAACCTTCAAAGGTAACCAGATCACAAGGGCCTTGATGTGTCGATCCCGTGAACCTTCAAAGGTAACCAGATCACAAGGGCCTTGATGTGTCGATCCCGTGAACCTTCAAAGGTAACCAGATCACAAGGGCCTTGATGTGTCGATCCCGTGAACCTTCAAAGGTAACCAGATCACAAGGGCCTTGATGTGTCGATCCCGTGAACCTTCAAAGGTAACCAGATCACAAGGGCCTTGATGTGTCGATCCCGTGAACCTTCAAAGGTAACCAGATCACAAGGGCCTTGATGTGTCGATCCCGTGAACCTTCAAAGGTAACCAGATCACAAGGGTCTTGATGTGTCGATCCCGTGAACCTTCAAAGGTAACCAGATCACAAGGGCCTTGATGTGTCGATCCCGTGAACCTTCAAAGGTAACCAGATCACAAGGGTCTTGATGTGTCGATCCCGTGAACCTTCAAAGGTAACCTGGGTAATCCTTGACCAGCTGGTCTCTTCTAAATTGATAGGCCACAAGAAGAGGCCTTGATCTGTTGACCCCGTGTACCTAGCGAGGTCACCAAGGCCTTGACCTGGTCTGAGGTCATCTAGTCACCAGCATGCCAGCCAGGAGAGGACTTCTGGCTCCCCAAAACACCTTTCTTGACACCATAGCCACTCGATTCGATGGAACACGTAAGTATTAACCTTTCCATAACTTTGTATTGGTAACTCTAACACACACAACTAGACCATAATTTGGAGATGAAACTAGATGTTTCGAGTAGCCCTTAAACCATTATCAGGACGAAATGAAAGCTCGCCTAATTGTACTAGCAGTTAGTGAAAGATGTCAATTGTTACAGGCAAGATAACGAAGTAATCTCTCTCTCTCTCTCTCTCTCTCTCTCTCTCTCTCTCTCTCTCTCTCTTTAATAACACAATTAACGTCTCTTGCAAAAAAACGTTTATGTATATACAATTAGTGAATAAATTCACTCTTAAATATTCCCATATTGGAAAATCTGATGGATATATAATTTTTTTCAATGTACCGACCGTCTCCCACCCAGGCAGAGTGACCCCCCAAAAAAAACTTCCTTTTTTTTGTAATTAGTAATTTATACAGGTGTTACTAGCCCCTTGCTTCTGGTATATCGTATTTGTCTGTTTCCGACGGAGGAATCCTATTGTGCAGACGTCAGGTTACATCAGTACAGATAACCAGGTATTTAATAAAAACGTAGCGCAATAGATGGGTTCCTTTACTGTCGAAACGTTTCGCCCTCACGATAGACTTCTTCAGTCATATACAGAGAGGAATAGATATGGGACAGTAGAGGTAGCTGCAGCTTTACAGATGTGGTTGTGAGGTGATCAGTCCCTCAGCCTGGAACAGAGTTGCTCCCCACAGTGTGGATCAAGGTCAACCTGAAGAATAAGACTAAAGTGATCCACGAAATCGTAATGACACGATTGCAAACAAACCATAGCACGGGTGGGGATAGAACCCATGGTCAGAGAGCCTCAAAACTCCAGACCGTCGCGTTAGCCACTGGACCAGCTGGCCACAATTATTATGGCCAGCTGGTCCAGTGGCTAACGCTACAATTATTGTGGCTAGCTGGTCCAGTGGCTAACGCTACAATTATTATGGCTAGCTGGTCCAGTGGCTAACGCTACAATTATTGTGGCTAGCTGGTCCAGTGGCTAATGCTACAATTATTGTGGCTACCTGGTCCAGTGGCTAACGCTACAATTATTGTGGCTAGCTGGTCCAGTGGCTAACGCTACAATTATTGTGGCTAGCTGGTCCAGTGGCTAACGCTACAATTATTGTGGCTAGCTGGTCCAGTGGCTAACGCGACGGTCTGGAGTTTTGAGACTCTGACCGCGGGTTCTATCCCCACCCGTGGTATAGTTTTTTTTAAGACTGAAGTCCTATGTACTGCCTAAGGCACATAACTAACACACATGTGTTGCACACATATGTTGAATAATGACAACACACTGGGACAGCAACACAGGATGATTGATCTGTATATTTCGACCCCCTTCTGGGATCCTCTTCAGCAGAAGAGGATCCCTGAAAGGGGTCGAGATATGAAACTAAAATATATATAAAATACCAACACTATATAGACCGGGCCGCGGGGGCGTTGACCCCCGGAACTCTCTCCAGGAGAACTATAGTTAGTAAATATCTCCGTCGTTATTCTCCATAACAAATATACACACTCGCCCGTCCCGGGCAGGTCCATCTTAAATACAACCTTCCCAACACTCTCCACACTACACATACAGTGGAACCTCAAATATTGAACCTTCCCAACACTCTCCACACTACACATACAGTGGAACCTCAAATATTGAACCTTCCCAACACTCTCCACACTACACATACAGTGGAACCTCAAATATTGAACCTTCCCAACACTCTCCACACTACATATACAGTGGAACCTCAAATATTGAACCTTCCCAACACTCTCCACACTACACATACAGTGGAACCTCAAATATTGAACTTCCCAACACTCTCCACACTACACATATCAGTGGAACCTCAAATATTGAACCTTCCCAACACTCTCCACACTACATATACAGTGGAACCTCAAATATTGAACCTTCCCAACACTCTCCACACTACACATACAGTGGAACCTCAAATATTGAACCTTCCCAAACTCCTCCACACTAACATATACAGGGAACCTCAAATTATTGAACCTTCCCAACACTCTCCACACTACAATACTAGTGAACCTCAAATAATTGAACCTTACCAAACACTCTCCACACTACATATACAGTGAACCTACAATATTACACCTATCCAACATTCACACATACACATACAGCGGACCTCAAATATTGAACACTTCCCAACACTCTCCACACTACACATACAGTGGAACCTCAAATATTGAACCTTCCCAACACTCTCCACACTACACATACAGTGGAACCTCAAATATTGAACCTTCCCAACACTCTCCACACTACACATACAGTGGAACTCAAATATTGAACTTCCATAAAGCACTTCCCACAATAAATACATGGAACTAAAATTGACCTTCCAACCCTCAAAAATACAGTTATCAAAATTGATTCCACTTCAACACAATACATTATCAAAATTGACTAAACATCTCACACTACATAACAGACACCTCAAATATAACCTTCAACACTTACATACAATACATTATAAACCTAAAATAACTAACACTCTCAAACACTTACAATACAGTACACTAAATAGTTACAAATTAACACTCTTAAAACACTACAAAAAGTACACTTAAAAGAACTTACAAATACACTTATAATACATGGACTAAATTTTAACCTTAACACTCTCACTACTAACATACATGAACCTCAAAAACCTTCCCAAACATCACACCTACTATAAATAGCACTAATACAGAAAAATTACCTTCATCAAATCACACTACAAAAATGACCTTATAAAAGCACTTACCAAATACCTATAAAAGCACTTACAAAATACACTTATAAAAGACCTTACAAAAATACACTTACATAATAATCTGTTGGACCAAAATTGATCTTTAGAGGTCCACTTGCTCACAATATACACTATAAATATATACTAAAATACACTTATAAACACTTACAAAATACACTTATAAAAGACTTCAAAATACACTTATAAAGCACTTACTAAATACACTATAATAGCACTTACAAATACACTATATAAAAGCACTACAAAATACACTATATAAAAGACTTACAATATACACTTATAAAGCACTACAAACATACATATAAAGACTTACAAAAATACACTTATAAAGCACTTCAAAAATACACTTATAAAACACTTACAAATACACTATACTAAATACTTTGAGCATTACATAATATACACCTATATATACATCTATATAACTGATAATACACTAAAAACATATATAACACTATATAATCACTATATATACACTATATATACATATATACACTATATAAATACCATATAACACTACAATACCATATAATTACACTATATATACTGATATATACACTATATAACCCATATATACAATATACTTACAAATATATAACACTAATATAACACATATATATAAACACTTATATATACCTATATATACACTATAATACACCCATATATACACTATATACATATACACTGAATTACACTATATACACATATTATACACCTATATAACACTATATATACAATATATAACTATATTAATCACTTATACACTCAATATACACTAATATATACTGATATATACACTATATACACCATATATACACTATATATACTGATATATACATAACATATATACACCCATATATACACTATATATACTGATATATACAACTATATACCTATACCCATATATACACTATATATACTGATATATACACTATATACAAACCCATTATATACACTATATATACTGATATATACACTATATACCATATACCCAATATACATAATACACTATATATACTGATATACCATACCCCTATATACACTATATATACACTATATATACTGATATATACACTATATACACCCATATATACACTATAATACTGATATATACACTATATACACCCATATATACACTATATATACTGATATATACACTATATACACCCATATATACACTATATATACTGATATATACACTATATACACCCATATATACACTATATACTGATATATACACTATATACACCCATATATACACTATATATACTGATATATACACTATATACACCCATATATACACTATATATACTGATATATACACTATATACACCCATATATACACTATATATACTGATATATACACTATATACACCCATATATACACTATATATACTGATATATAACTATATACACCCATATATACACTATATATACTGATATATACACTATATACACCATATATACACTATATACTGATATATACATATATACACCATATACACTATATATACTGATATATACAATATATACAATAATACACTATATATACTATATATACACTATAATACATCATAATACACATAAACTGATATACAATATACACCCATATACACTATATATACTGATATATTACACTATATTACCGACTCTTATACATATATAACTGTATATACATATAAATACCATATAACATATATAACTTTACAATAATACCATTTAATATACGTATATATTACATATATACATATAATACTCTATAACAATAATATACTATTACATATATATCGTATACTTAACCAGTTATATAACTTAATTACTAATAATACGGTACAATAATAACCTACAATAATACCGGTACATCAATACCGGTACAATAATACGTACATATATACCGGTTACTCATATATACGGTAACAATAATACCGGTTACATTACTAATTACCGGTACAATAATACCGGTACAATAATACCGGTACAATAATACCGGTACAATAAATAACCGGTACAATAATTACCGGTACAATAAACCGGTACAATAATACCGTACAATAATACCGGTTACAATAATACCGGTACAATAATACCGGTACAATAATACCGGTTACAATAATACACGGTACAATAATACCGGTACAATAAATACGGTACAATAATACCGTACAATAATACCGGTACAATAATACCGGTACAA